TCAAACAAAGTGGATCTGGAGAATTGTGTGTAACATTTAGGAGGATCTATTGGCAGAAATGGAATATAATATTTATAGATATGTTTTTATTAGTGTATAATCGCCTGAAAACAAGAATTGTTGTGTTTTTGTTACCTCACAATGAGCCGTTTTTTATCTCCTCTTCTACGGCATGTATAGTAGCCCAGAGTGGACAAACTAAACACTGGCTCTATATCTGCAGCTTCACAGAATAGGCGCCACTGAATAGAGGTTTAGTATTCTCCACAATAATTACACATGTGGCAGTGCAGGAAAGGCTTTCGAACAACATCTTGACCGTAATGTGGACACAAAAAATTAATAAAAATGTAACTGAACAGTTGAAAGAATAAATACATTTTTTAAATACTCAAAAAACTGTACAGAGTTTGGTTGGTGGCTAGTTCTCAGGTGAGTGAAGTTGTGCTGGGAGTACTTACTACTAGTTCCTGACTCCTGGATAACCAGAGAAGCGTTGAGAGGAATAATTTCTCTCCTCCTACAATATTGTTGTTTCAGGTCTAATTCTACCTTTGGTTCCTCCTCCTGTTAGGATCTGTCTCGCTGCAAGAAGGTGATGGAGGAGAGAGGAGAACTGTTTCTAGAGAAGATCTCAATGTCCAGGACCAAGGTTGCTAAGCTCTGTCACACCTTCATCAAAGACGGTGCTGTGAGTATTTTACCTACATGTCACCACTTATTTAACCTTCTTAAATGCAGAAACAGAACAACATAGACAATTCAGTCACACACAGGAAGGTTTATTACATTTGTTTTCTATTTGAAGGGAAAAACGAACTCAGTTCAAGAATAAAAAATCCAATTTGAGTTTTTAGTTTTTGAGCAATGTGAATTTATAACGCTGTAATGTATTTTTTTTTAATCATTTCTATCATGAGTTATTGATCAGAGTTGGAACATTAAAGCTTTCTGCTCGTGTGAAATGCAAACATTTATTTTCTTTCGGGAGTTTAGAAGAAGTTTTAAATTCATTTTTAAAACAGGATTTTGCCAGAAGATGGAGGTCAGCATGAAAACTTACATTTCAATGCTCTGATATCAGAAATTAAACACTTTATTCGTCCTACAAGGGGCAATTTGAGGCAAGTGAGCCCGTAAAAGGCGTACACACATTAAAACAATCTAAAAAACAGCAAATATGACGATGTTAGAAAGATCTGAAATACACAAGGATTAATATAACTGGACAACAATATCCAACCCCACAAAGACACAAAGTAATGTCTACTTCAAATCTCTCTCTTCTATCTGGAGCCACTAAACATATTTGAGCGTTATGATGCCAGGTCCTTGCCACAGATGAAGTTTACCAGTAAGCCAGCAGCGTTGGCGGTGAGAGCAAACAAATCTGTCCAAGCGTTATTGAATTCTAGGGACACCGCGGCTATTGAAGGTTTGGCAAAATATAGAGGAAAAAGCACGAGGTCAGGGTGTAAGGAATAACGGCTACACATGTTTACAGTTGGAGAATGTAAGGAGCCACTAGAGGGGCTAAAGAGCCACAGGTTAACCCGGTCTAGAGTAAAAAGCAGGGAGGGGCTGATATTGATCCTTGTGGTACCACTTTTTTAAAGACCAGATGGAAGTACTTATGTGGATACTTGCAGATAACCGATATGAGTACTTAACAATACCAATACAGCTGTAACAATGATCTTGAAGAGTTGCTTATATCTGCCGCCTAGTTCCTCAACTAACAGGAGCTTACACAAGTACCTAAAACAGTATCGGAGCAGTTTTATGATTACAGTTACGAGTACGTGAGCTCTGTATCAGACCAGGTCTATAAAGAGTTCAGCACAACGAGCCGGTCTAAAACCTGACTGCTCTGAATGAAGATCATTATTATCCTCCAGAACACAGAGTTGTGAGTTGGCCAGTGATCCAGCACAGTTCAGTTGTAGGCAGGCATACAAAACACCCTTTATACATACAGTATTTAGGCAGTTCAATGCCTTTCTCTTGCTTTCTCTCACAGAAAATCCTGACTCACTCGTACTCCAGAGTCGTCCTCAGGGTGATGGAAAAAGCCGCAGAGGAGAAGAAACGCTTCTCTGTCTATGTGACTGAATCGCAGCCTGACTCAGCTGGGTGAGTGAATACTGTCAGTAAATTGTGTCCTTGTTTTATTCTGAAGGGACACGCACTCATTGAATCAGCCTTTTTTTTTTTTAAATATCCTTTCTGTATTCAGGCGACAGATGGCCGAAGCCCTGAGAAAACTCAATGTTCCAGTAACAGTAGTCCTGGATGCAGCTGTGGGGTAAAAACACTGAAGTTTAAAACCAAACCGTGTCAGTGTGGAGCTCAGTTGCTTTTATTCAGTATGATTTTGTTGTTTTTTTTCGCAGGTATGTTTTGGAGAAAGTCGACCTAGTTATTGTCGGTGCAGAGGGAGTCGTTGAGAGCGGAGGGATCATCAACAAGGTGTGTGTTCAGGGAATGGTCCGTCTGGATAACTGGTGTTTCACAAAGCTGGTTATCAACTGGCCCAGTTACCTCTTTGTTCTGTAGTCCAGCTATGAGGCGTGTTCACATGAAAGAAGTGGGAGTTCTGGGGGTCGGGACTCCCACTAGGGGTCCCTCAAAGCTTTATGGGGGGGTCGTGAGGCTTTATTAATTTACAGGCGTGCTAGAAAACTTGAAATTAACACAGTAGGCCTAAATCTCAGCATTTGGTTCACTAAAGTAAATTGTTACGGTAAAAATAAGACTTAAGTCTGTATGATTGTTAAAAATGATAATAAATACAAAATACTGACAGAATTGTATAAAAAGTTCTCTAAACAGGAAATAATCTGCTCAGAAATCACTTGTTTTACACAAACTTCCTGCAGTTACTTGAGTTTGAATTTGGGTTCATTGTACAGTTTTGGATATAAAAAGAAATATACATAAAATGTGTCACTTTTTTTTATATTTTATGTACTCCTGACAGTAAAATAAGCCACAATAAACCTATAGAAAGGCTCAGTCATGCAACAGAAAAACACAGTGAGAACAGCTGGAATCGTAACAAAATACTGACATACAAATATAACAAGGAAGGACAATGTGTGGATATCTCTGGTCTGTTTTCAGCATCTCTCATTTTCATCGTGAGTCTGGCAATATTAGGAGAAGATAAATCTGTGGAGTTTGTTTAAGCCCAGAGATATCTGTATAACCAATTAATCTTGCTTCGTGATACAAACAGAACTAAAGCGTTTCCCCTTTGCTCTTGCAGATCGGCACTTATCAGATGGCCTTGTGCTCTAAAGCTCACAACAAGCCCTTCTACGTCGTCGCAGAGAGTTTCAAATTCGTCCGCTTGTACCCGCTCAACCAACAGGACGTGCCCGATAAATTTAAGGTACGGCGTCGGAGGATTTAATGTTTATTCTTATCTTGTTGAGTGTTTTCTTTACTCGTCTCCTCCTCGCCTCCACAGTACAAAGCAGACACCCTGAAGACTGTACAGAACCTGTCAGAAGAACATCCTATGATTGACTACACGCCTCCCTCGCTCATCACCCTCCTCTTCACTGACCTGGGAGTCCTCACCCCGTCTGCTGTCAGCGATGAACTCATCAAGCTTTATTTATAACCGTGCCTCTCAATTCTCAATAAAAACCCATTATCAAAAGGGAAACAAATGTTTTGGATTTAATTGAATTTTGTTTTACATGTTTGATTCTACGTCCTCTCCCACCGAGCTGTCGTGTGACGGCCCGCCTGTTTTGTGTTTTGATTTCGGTTTGCTTGTTATCCGTTGCTCAAAGTCCTCCTCGCTGATTTGCCCTTTCTTTAGTTTCTTGAGGAGGCGAGTGTCATTTAAAAGCTCGTTCATGTCTTCGTCTTCCACGTCGGAGCCCTGCAAACACACAGAGGATAAAAGAGATTCATGAAGATATCCAGCCCCCTTTTTCCCCTCATTACGTTTAACTTTCACTGGACTGAAATACCTCATCGTGCTTCCTCTTGGCTGACATCTTTTTCCTGCGAACCTTCTTGGTCTTCTGCTTAGACCAGGCCTCATTCTTGACGAAGTGCTTCTTGGGAAAGGGAATCTTGTCTTTCAGCTCGGCGAGCATCTTCTTTCTCTGTTTCTGCCTGCTCTTGTCCTTGTAGCGGATGGTTTCTGTGTCTACTGTCGTCTCGATGAAGTCAGGGAACGTTTTTCCCCTCAGCTCCGGCATCTTTGGGAGGCGGAGGAGGGCAAAGCCGCGAGCTAAGCAGGCAAAGTCCAGATCTAGACAAAGAAATGAAGCACAGATGTTAGGTTTGTACTTTAAGCAACGTACAGAATTGGATCTAAAGATGTAAAAGTCTCACCTTTGATTCTGAAGATGAGGCTGCATTCGTGTTTGGCGTAGGCCTGGACAAAGGAGACGAAGGCTCTCATGCTTCTGTCAAACATGGCGCGGTCCGCTAGACACATGGCTTTCACTTTGGGCAGCACGTCCACAACATCACTTACAGGGGGCATCTGCTGGAGAGGGCACTGAAGAAGTGACAAAAGACGTCATTTATGGTTACGTCATAACGCTGGACGAGTTTCAGCCGAAATCTCTTAAAAAAAAAAGATCAAATGATCCAAAACTTCCCTAAAGATGATCAAAACACCCAAAACAGAAATGTTCCTCTCCCATTAATCATCTTATGACCCCTTAAGATTCATTTTGTGACCCTTTAGAAGGGTACGACCCCCTAGGTTGGGAACCATTGGACCAAACTACTGAACTTCACTGTATAAGGTTGCTACTTATGATTTATCAGTATTAATAATCTAATAATGTAAAATATTCCCTGAAGGTGTACTTTTATAATACACTATTGTAATACTTCTGTACTTTTACTTATTTTACTTGTAATGGAGTACTTATACAATGTGGTATTGGTACTTTAACTTCCACCTCTGGTCTTTAAAGTACTCGTATGTATACACAGTCCCACCCAGGGGTCATATAGTAGCTTAGGGAAAATTAGAAGTAATAATAGTCTACAAGACTTCCAGAATGTAATAAAGTATTTAGTTTTTACTCAACCTGAAAGAAAGTACAGACTAATAATACTGAACATATCGTATATCCCATATAATACCCTTTAATATATGACTTACAGCATGTCAGCACTCACAATTACTCTTTAATTATTAAAGCTATGTTTTAAGTGAAAATAAATCTTGTGGCCTGTAATTTATCCTCAAATATGAATCAGATTACAACTTCAGAGCAGCAAGAAAAAGTTTTGTTTCCACAGATTTTTACAGAATATGAGTAAACTTTAGTAACTTTAAAATTTGTAAAATAATGGAAAATAACTCACTTTCTGGTTGATGGCCAAGAAATTGACATAGGACTCCTCCATTGGCAGCAGGAAGACCAGGGCGCTACCCTGATTGCCGATGCGCGCTGTACGTCCACATCGATGTACAAAGGCACTGAGACATTAACATAAACATTAAATACATAACAATAAAATAAGTTTTATTATGTTAGCCTTAAATTCATAATATCCTATGCAAGCAGTAGGTATAAATCCACATTTTACATGAAGAAATCCCATAAGACTAAAACCAACAGTGAATGTATGAACTACTACATTATTGTGTTTATGTCGAAGCCTGATAGAAATCCTTCCTCTGTGCACCAGAGCTCCACTGTTGTCCAAAAACTATTAAATACACATCAGTGAGCCACACTGTTGCACTGGTTGACATCTTCCTTCATCACCATGAACACACACTGTAGTTTATTTGTTTACTCAATCCCACACACAAACACTCTCTAAAGCACCAAATGTGTGAATCTGCTGCTGGAAATAGTCCCTAACAAATGCCCTATGTCCTCCTGTTGAGTAATCTTTGTTAAAAACTACAGTGAGCAGCAGTTTTAGGATTTATTTAACCTTTTTTTAAATGAGACTATATATTTGTGAGCTGTAATTAAATAAATGTTGATGAAAATGCCACTTTTATTATAAGAAATAGAAAATTTTTTTAATTTGAAACTGTTATATTAGGCTACATTCACACTGCAATTCTGATTTATTGCTCTGATCTGATTGTTTGTGTTCCTCCTCACATTATTTCACTCACCTGGCACTGCTGGGAGGATCGTACTGCAGCACCCAGTTCACATCGGGGATATCAATGCCTCTGGCCATGACATCTGTACACACCAAGATCCCACTGCGACGGAATATATCAAAAGATTAAAAATGACATAAAAGCACCAGTTACACACAACCACATTGACTGTACCAGGACACACGAGTCTCACCTTTTCAAGGCCCGAAAGTCAGCGAAGATCTTGTTGCGTTTATTTTTCATCTTGCCGTGGATGCAGTGGACGGTGACCTTCTTCACCAGAGTCTCCAGAGCCCGACCGTAGAACTCCACACATGCACACGTACTGATGATGAGACAGCAACAAGTCAGTATCAGTCAATAACTGCAGACCTGATAGGAAACACTCACTTTTAGAATAAGGCCCAATTTCTGTCAGATCAGCTGTTATGTGTCGTGCAGTTTGAGGAGGATCACACTGACTCCTTTTCTCTTCTTACTTTCCTTTTGTTCATATAGATTTACACAAAGTAAAGCTGACTTTCTCTTATTGTCAACAGTTTTGAGAACAAAGTCATCTTGTTTGTATCAATTTTATTGGTATCGTCACTGGATAAAACTAATACCGTGTTCATGTCGTATGTTCTAGCCTTTAGCTCAATAAAAAAAAACATACAGTTTCCGCCCATCTTAACGTACCTGAAGAAGACCAGATTCTTCTCGTGCTTGTGTTGCCGTAGAAACGTCACCAGGCTGTTGAATTTGTTCTCTGATCTACAGATCTGAAACGACAACAGGAAAGAACATTGTGTTGAGCTGGACGGACTCACTGAGAATGAGCTGTCAATCAGAAGGTAGCCCCGCCCTAAAGCATACCCTGCTTTATGGTCTGTTTTTAACTAGAGACTGAGACCATAAACTCATCAGGAAACTGTTTACTGAACTCATAAATGAGGTGAGTCATCATTTCTCCATAACACTGCATTACTCCATTACATAGAATGCAGGTTTAAGACACTTCAGTGTTGGCTTCACTTCACAGACCTGGAGGCTCTGTCCACTATATATTTATTATATTTTACTATTATTGGGGAAATATCATCATATTTTACAGTATTATGTCATAAATTCACATGTAGCAGATTTGTCAGCTAAATATTTGTTCTGTGAACTCTTAAGCATTGATTAGTAATGCTTCTTACCCTGTTATGTAACTTAGAAATAGTTATGAAGAATAATTTTAATAATATATAATAATATTGTCTGCATCTTCCTGCCATCTGCAGCTCCATATTTCTTAAGTGGATGTGAATGGACTGCACTTTCTAGTCTTCCGACCACTCAAAGCACTTTACTCCACATGTGACAATCACTCACAGATTGCAGAGGCTGCTCATTAGAAAGAGAAACTAATCCCATTCATACACTGAAGGCACACCATTGGGAGGTTCAGCATCTTGCTCAAGGACGCTTTGACCTGCAGTGGGAGGAGCCGGGGATTGAACTTCCAACCTTATGATTAGTGGAGGACACGCTCAACCTCCTGAGCAACAGTAGCTACGCCTACTTTGCATACACAGCATTATAGTAAAGCTTTAGCATAAAAGTTCCAGGTTGATTCAAAGTATAACCTGTTGGTCCAAGGAAGTGTTTTAAGGTCATTTTTAGAAAGACTCACACTGAAATGTCTCAACAATATGAAGATGGATAAATCTCTTGTTTTTCCACAGCCCACATCTGGTGAGGAGTGAGACAGACAGTCTGGTTACCCTGCTGAGTTTCAGCTGTTTAAACCTCGGTTCTATATTTCACTCACTTGCTCATACAGTATCTTTCTGTTCCTGTTGTCAGACAACTAAACAGCAAATAATATTGTTGATCGTAGCTGCGAAGCTGCAAGCTCAAATTTCTGTTTTATACTGACCAAATAACCATGAATACAGGTTAAAAAACAACAGCTGTACTGTTTGATTATAATGACACAGCCTCTGATCTGTGCAGGCTGACGTCATTAAAGCTGGGGCACCCTGGTAGCTCCTTACGACAGCAGCCTGCGTTAGATTCAAGCCTGTGGCCATTTGCTCCATGTTGTCTCCTTTATCTCGCTCCACCCTTTCCTGTCTATATTCAGTTGTCACTACAAAATAAAGGCATAAAAAGCACAAAATAATAATAAGTAAAAAGAAAGTGTTGTTTTGCTAGGTTCAGAAAAAAGGCAAAAACAGAGAACAGAGAGATATTTGTTTCAAATGTAATCTGCTCAAACTGCAGAGGGTATACCTCGGACTACTTGATCTCTGGCTTGAGATATAAAACTTGTGGATCAGCTTACCTGAAATAAATATTAAATTGTTATATTGTTTTCATGATCAAGTTCACGTATTGTATAGCAGATTATAACAGGGCTCTCAGGGCACTTTTCAGATTTTTTCAGAAGGTCTAGACCTGTTCTCTTTTGAAATCATCTGATGTCAATCTTTCTTCCTTTCAGATTTCTTGAAGTGATGGCAGTGTTCCCAGATCCCTAATCAGTAAAAAAATTTTGATTTATAGCCAAATTTACAATTTCTAGGATTTTACATTTGTACAACATCACTTCTTTGTCAGACCTCGATCTGGTAACGACAAACCAAAACATTTAAAGAAAATGGAGAAACTCAAGGGTTGAAATATAGGAGAATCAGACGGAATATATAGTATTACAAACAAATAAAATCATTTATTACCATCTGTTGACAACATTTTGATACATGTAATGATTAATATATGTGAAGATGAAAAAGTTACGATTAAAATTAATGGAAACTATGAAACAAATTGTAATAAACAGATTTCCTATTCCACCTGAGATAAACATAATAAAGCTTTTAGTATTCCTTGATTTTTAACCATAATATTAGAAATTTGAATGGTGTATATTGTATTTATTGAGTGTAAGCACATTTTTTGTGCCCTAAAGTATAATATGATATAATAATATATATATAATATATATTATTATGTTATATAAAGTAAAAACCATGCCTGAACAGGGAGGCTCTCGGCGTCACAGAAACACAGGAGGATGACGCAAATCTGTAGTTTTCATCCCTGCAGCGCTCAACAACACAATGTGTGGTTGCCTGTATGCCTGACCATGAATAACGTGTGTTTGTGTGTGTGTGTGGTTATGTATGGTTGCTGGCTAAGCTCTTGTCAGCCCACATAGTCTCATGGCTAAATGCCTTGGTTTTTCACTTTTACTTTTCACGTCAATTCGATGCTTTTCCTTGGGCCCGCTGACCGTGTTGTGACAGGTCCTCCCCTGTGGTGTGTGTGGTTGTGTGTGTGTGTGTGTGTAAAAGTCAGGGGGAAAGAGTGTTTGTGGTATGTGCACATTTCTTGCGATGTTCAATTTGTACTAATGGGTTTATGCCAGTTGGTGATGGTCTTAAATTACTGAAGGCCGACTTCACTGCCTCGCCGCAGCCTGAGAAACAGAACTGTGGGTTCTGTGTGAAAAATGAACCAACGTGGAAGTAACAAAAACTACCTTCCTTCAAACGGCCAAACTTGAGCTGGTTACAGAAGTGAATCAATCTCCATAGGGCCTCATATTAAAATGCAAAGACTATACAGCAGAAATAAACATGTTATTAACAATGTTAAAACGGTTTTGGTTCCTGTAGCTAATTCCCCGTTCATGACGACTGTACTGGGGGTGAATTAACCTGTTAAATTTATATTAAGGATTAAAGGTTTTGGCATAATTAAAAGGCATGGCTTCTTTTAACTCACAGGGTGGCCCTAGTTTTCAGAAGAGCTCATTCAGTCCACCACGCTCTATGTATTTTGCTGATTTTTCGATAAGCCAAAAATGAGCTGGTTGAGTCAGGGCTGTCTATTTTTATTTATACAGTCATGAATACCGCTCACCTTTCCAACGCATAGGAGAAAACTACGGTGGAGTTGAAACATGAAAAGGTGGCCTATGAAGCCCCAGTCCTTTGGTTTGACATGGCGTTCAGCATGGGCGGCCTCTGTAGAAGGGGACCCGCTCTCTCTGTAGAAAAAAAAGTCCTCATTCTAAGGTACAAAACACAAAGATTCCTATATTAAGTGATTATACACTATGAAAAACATACCTTCTGCAAATAGATTTCCTACATGGTTACACACTGGACCTTTAAGGGAGTCACCAAGTTAATGGGAACATTTGGCATACAGCAGGTCCAAGTCTTATTGTCTTCCTGGTGGTTCGC